AAACATTCATTTCTAGGTATCTTTTATCTGAGATGCAGAAGGCCTTGTTGTGACGACAAATGTGCCATCTCTGCCGTCTTTTCAGACTAAAAATACTTGGTGCTTCTGAAGCATCTGGGAAGTGCAAGTCAGATACATCATCCAACCCTGAATTTTAGCTAAGCTGAGGAAAAGATGAGTTAAGAGGTTTGTGTGCATTTACACAGAATTGCAAGGAAAGCCTGTGAAAGACAACCCAGGAGCCCCGTCCACCAGTAGGGTGCAATAACCACTCGATCACACTTACTTTCTGTTAACCCAACTGATCTAAGAACAAGAAATGTTATGCTGTTTCCAGGGTTATTGGTTATCTCCTTCTAAAGAAAACTGGTGCAAGACTGATGGATACTCTCTCGTTGGTCAGCCTTTGGTATTTATGCCAATCTACTTTCCAAAAATTCAGTCTTGGAGCTGGTCTGGATGGTGTGGACTGAAAAATTATATTGTCTATGCTGATGAGCGAGGTTCTGTGCTGAGATGATGGAAACCTGTCCAATACTTTTTTAAAGCAGTATTTTACTTGAGTCACCTTTCTGCCAGGCAAGATCTGGGTTTGTCTGATTGTTGCAGCTCCTTCGGGTCATATATTAGGGTTGTATCATTCAGGCTTACCCAGAGACAAAGATTGTCTCTGTTGCTACTGTCAGCAGAGTATCCCCAATCTTGATGCTGACAATTGAAGTCTCCTGCGTATAAGGTCATCTGGTCATAAATAAGCAGAGATGTGATTGACACCACGGCAGAGGGTGGCTTGTATATATTGACAATGACTATGTCATTGACCTGGACTGCGCTCCATCCTACTGCACCCTGGGAGGTGCTCTGTCTCTTGATAATGTATGGTAGGTCATTTCTGATAAAGGCAGCAAGGCCATGGATCCTCCTGGCTGTAGAGGCTGCAAGACTGTAGCCTGGGAGCTTCTGCAGCTGCTCTATATGTGTTTCTTGTAGAACGACTGCATGTGGTTTCATTTCCCTGGTGATGCATTTGAGCACTGATTGCTTGAGTGACATATAGCCTTCAACAATAAGGTGAAGAACAGTCAAGGCCCATAGATAGGAGAGATTGCTCTGGCTCATCCTGTAGTTAGTAGATCAAAATTGGAAAGTATGGCATATCAAAACTGGAAAAATTGGAAGTCTGATTGTCTTGGTAGTGATTGCCTTGGTAGTGACTTTAGTTTCACTTTATAGCTGCTCATGGGAGGTACCGCGAGAAGGTCTGATACTGCTCAGGGCATATTGATCTATATGGACGCAGATGTCCTCTTTGCAGCAGGTTCAACTGTGCTACAATATGTTGCAAGGGCTGCTGTCCCCCAGGGTTGGTCCTCTGTCCCTTCCAGGGGCCTCTAGGAGTTCCCCCTATGCCTGCACATGGCCCCCAACCTAGGGGCATCAGTACAATAGGCTCATTGGTGTCCACCATGCTTTTCTGGCTGCCGCCTCCAGTTGGGGCACCACCTGTAAGTGGCTGGGGGAACCCCTAGGGCATATCTGCAAGTGGGTGTTTCCGCGCTTACTGACTTGCGCCCAAAATTGGGGTGGGCACCTAAGGCCCTAATCCTCTAGGATTGGGTCTCTAAGACCAGGGGATTTTTTGCCATCCCCACCATAAATAAACAGATAGCCCCAAAAAGGCAGCACAAATTGTTAGTACCTTTGTTGGTGCCACAAAACTTGTGGTGCAGCAAAGGGCTATGATGACTGCTCAGCTTTTGTGCCACCATAAACATTTTTATGGGGCCCAAAGTCACCATCTGTTTGCAGCCTATGATGGCATTAAAGGGGTAGAATGGTTCAGTGGACAGGATGCTGATCTCAGTCCCAATTCTCCATTTTATATCTTGCTTTTCGTGAGCCTGCTGGATGCTGTTCAGCAGATCGCTTCAACATGTGCTCTAGCATGCCCATCTGCAAAATGGGGATTATGACATGGTCCTTCTCTGTGAAGCACTTTGAAGTCTCTTGAAGGGAAAAAAGGCTTATGTCAACCTCTCCCAACTTCTTATTACTCTGAAGTTCTGAATAATCGTGGGCATAGAAGCCCAGAACGTAACTTTGGCTGTGGCCCTGTCTCCAGGACATGAGTTTAAGCCCAGGGGGAGCTAGGAGGGTCAAAGTTTAGGGTGAAAACTGTGTGCTGAAAAATATGGACTATGTAAGAATGCAGATATTGGAAAACACTTCTAAAATATGGTGCTCGTGGGTTGGTAGCTCCTTGTTCAGAAGGCCAAAACTCATACACACACACTGCTCTGTAACTCTCAAGCTTAAATGGCTTGCACTGATTTACTCAGTACTGTAGGATCAATACACAGCTACTTTCCTTATCATTTAACAGATGCTGCTTGCCTTCCTATTGTGCAATGGAAGCCATTAAAATGGGTCAGCTCAAGAATGCCAAGTTCACCAAAGTTATACTTTGAAGGTCAAAGACTCCTCTTAGAGGGCTGTATTCAAAACTTGAGTTGTTTTGTGACTTGGAGTTATGCCTCCATGTTGAAGTTGTACAGTCCTATTTCTCCAGCAGCGTTACAAATGCCCGATGGCTGGCTGCTCTGTTCTCACTTACGGTGACGGCGATGGATTAAGAATCACAGGCTTTGGCTAACTTCTATAGACAAGGCAGCAAATCCCAAGGGTCCAGTTCAGGGAAAGTTGTGCAGGTGTCATAATTAGCAGTTTCCTGTAAAGTTCCACAAATAAGCTGCAATCCTCAAGATACTAGTCTCTGAAACCCCTTGCAGATTTGTTTTCAGACCAAATAATATTCATCTGTAACCTATTTAATTGCCCAAGCTGTATATTTAACTACCCTAGACCCACTGGTCCAGATCTTACAGAGAATCAGATGTGAATGGGGATTAATGGTTTCAGCCGCTCATACCAGGCAGCTACCATGCCGAGTGCAATACGCCCTTAAATGAGGCCTGCCTGCACAGTGGGTGAGTCAGACCTAACTGGAGGACTTCGGTTTCCTATGTTGTCTCTCCTCACCCTTCAAGACCAATAAACATGTCATAAAGGGAAGGGGGGCGGGAAAAAAAAACTCGCAAAGTTAGGAAGACAAACATGGCCATTAATAGCCTTGACATATGCTAGAGCCACCTTCAAGTGAAAGTTGAGGTACCAGACTTTTTCGCGCTTGGACAAGAGAGAAAGATTGAAATAAAAGCCCACAAACATTCTAGCCCCTAACACAAATATTTCCAGCCCAAAGAGGTTTCCCCCTCTCTAGACTGATGGAATAAAATACAACCAGTTGTAGACGTAAAAAAGGTCGTGGGTTAATTTCCAACGTAAGTGCTTGTCGGATAGGTTCTGGAAAGTTTCTCGGTTTCCATAATCAGCAGGGCATCTGAGGACTTGCATGTTTTTCACAGTACAGGAGAACAACCAGTGCCAGCTGGAGTCTTCAGCCAGACTGTATGCCTTTGAGCTTATATGTTGCACATTACTGGCGGCTACATACTACTTTCAACTGGCATTGCGCTCCATTTGATATGTCTGGGGAGGGAGAGAGTCAGCTGAATAATTGCATGGGCTGATATGTTAGCTCAGACATCTTCCCCCCCCTTTAATATACATTTTTGGACACGTTCATTTGGGGGAAAGAGGGGCAAGAGCTTTACCATCTTTATTTGTTGTTCCGTTTAGCCGCCGAATGTTGACAAGCTGCATAGATGTTACCTCCTTCCCTTGGGCATGGCCCTCTGTGGCACTTAAGGGGTCTGACAAGGTTTTAAAAACAGATCGCAGCCGAAGCAGGGAGAAATAAAAGCTTCAAAATGTGTTTATTCTTAGATGGAGGCTTTTGAAATGAATATTGTGCAAAGGATGGGCGTAAATGTGCGGCAACTAGATTAAGGTAACCTTGGCGTGTATTGTCTCCTCAAGCAGTAAGTAAAAAAGCCGGAAGTTATGTATGGGAACAGCACAGGAGGAGAGAGTCTGAGCTTTATTGTGGCAATTTGCTTTTGAAAACTCATAATAAATACACTGCATGGGATTCTTTTATTTAACCAGTCTCTGTTACTTGTTCTTGCCTTTAAATTTTGCATCTCGTACCTATGAAGGTGCTTACAGAGAACACGTGCATGGTGCTGTGATGCTGAGGAACGGCCATTCTCATTCCTCAAATTCCATCTATTTGTTTGATTAGAAGCTAAATAGAGCAAGAGAGACATACAGAGAAAGATGCTACAGTTTTCATGGGGGATCACAAATATTTCTGTGGCCATTTCTACATGACAGGTTTGTTTGACTTAGCTGTAATTTTTTAAGTGATTCAGCTCCATACAAATCAATTTGTGAGCCGCCAAAATTGCATGTCAAATATCTGGATCTGCAATTTTGGATGTGCAGATTTAGAGATTATGATGACAATCTGGCTTTTCATTCATGAGTTCATCCACTTGTTTTCTCCTGAACTGTGTAGAAAAAAAATCAAATGGCTCATTTAAGTCATCACATTCAGTAGACTATACTTGGCTAAAACACAACCCATTATTGCTTAAGTTAATTCTGTTTTCAATATTGTGTCTGCCAACAAATAGCCATACAGTGAATATAATTCATTTAAAAGAGTTCTCATCTGATGGCTACTCTTTCTGTACATGTGCAAAAAAACCTTCACATCATCAAAGTGAAAACGAGGTCTTTCATGGCCCAGAGCAGGTTTTCCAAGTGAACCATGCGGTCTTTTCCTTGTGCACCAACAGGAAGGAGCAGTATTTCTCAGCTTGAAATTTCCCTTGTGTGCTCTACTCCTGGCATCTAAGGACCTTGATCATAGAGAAAATGTACTGATGTAAGACTACCAGCTATAGGACACAAAGTTAAAATTCATAATAAGTTACATCCACAAAGTAACCTGAACTCTGTGCCTTTATTTTAGCCCTTTGGATGCTGTTATCCAGGAGGCCCGGTGGTTAAGAGTCTGGGACGCAGCAGATCTGGGTTCAAGTGCTCTTTTCTTGACTTCCTGCATGACTTTGGGTAAGTAATTTAAGCTGTTTCCTTTAGTTCCTTCTCCTTAAAATGGGTATAATAATCCTCAGCAGTGTGAGAGGATGCTCCAATACTATAGTAGTGGGGACCCTGTCGGTTTAAGATAGAGGCTTTTATGTCACTTCGTTATGGAGGGAACGCTTGTATGAGAACCAGGTTTTGTGGTATATCCTACTGAGACACGACTTGGGAGCGTGTCCTGATTTTGAATGGCAGAGAGCTCCTGATCTGAGCTTAGGAGTTTGACTTCACTTTTGAGGCACATATAGCAACCAAGACGCAGCGGACAGGGGGCCTTGGAGTAATGTGAGATTCAAATGGAGCAGCAGAAACACGGCTAAAGGAAGGGTTTGCTGGCTTTAACCCTACCCCTAATACTAATGCTCTTGTCTAACACTCTTGGTCTCCAAGACAGCCATTTCTTTCAGATCTGCCAGGGAAGCATGTGACTTCCTCTCAAATAGGACTTTTTAACTCATCTAAGAAGCAACTGTATATCCATGTCACTAAGAGGAGTCGCCCATTGGAGTGGGCAAAGCCAGGGATCATCTGAAGAATGTACCGCCACCAGATCTGCAAAAGCAGATGGAAGAGACTGGGGCGTGTTTAGTGGAATGGGCCTATAGAGAAGGACAGAGCCAGAAAGCTTTGGAGGGTTTGGGGAGTTTAGTTAAACAGTCTACCATTTAAATCCTCAGCCAAACTGTACCTCAACTCTTTGCCTTTAGTATTCATTTAGCACCATTTCTAATGCTGCTTTACTACTTTATGAGAATTAACCTCACATCATGAGACTCATTCTGAGACATGAATGACTGACCCCTCTTGCAATAGCAGAGCTGTTATCTTATCGTGTCCCATAGGAAGGCTTGTGAGAGATGCTGTGTGTATAGGTCTGTGCATACGGTATAGGTTTCTACCATCCTGATACTGTTCACACCAGATGATCTCAACCAGCATTATCTACCATGAAAAGGGTAAGCTGATCATTAATCTTTCAACCTTATCTGTCACATGCAGCGAAAGCACGGGGCAGATGGATAGGAATAAATTCCAGCTCAGCTGGGTACCTGCAGGGCAAATGTAACACCTTGTGCTCATCTCTTGACAATCTTTTGGAAATGAATCTTTATCCTTAATATGAATGATGTGCAGTGTGGGCCAATTTTTCATATAGACATGACAATCAAGGGTCTGGAATTTCTTGGGGTTTGGATGTGCTGCATTGTTAATACTTGTGTTACACATGAGCAGGTGGAGGCTGTGTTTTTTAGTTATTATTTATTAACTGCTGATTATTAAGTGGAACTGCTTCATTCACCCTGTCTCTGAAATCGTCTGCTATTCTTAGGAAGGGCAAGGCCATGGCAGGGCTAAGGTGACTGAATGAGCCCATGGCATGGAGGCAGGACCACTGGGAACTCCACATAGGTGTGCCAGAGCCCATGGATGACCTTATTTCAGCCTTGCACCTACCCATGTGGAAACAGTTTCCCCCTCAAACTTCCTTTGCTTGTCACATGATAGTGTATTATGTGAAGTTACGCACCGGCATGTCCTGTGTTTATTTTTTAGGCTACCCATTTAAACGGGATCAGTCAAAGAATTTGGGGCAAAAGAAGTCAGTGCTTTCTCTCACAGGACAGGAATGGTCTGTCACTGGAGGCTGCAGAGTCAAATGCTGCAACTGGAGTTGAATACAAGGGCTGTGCAAAACGGCACCGTTCTGTTTCACCTTCAGTTTCGCTGGTTTGAAGGAACAGTGTTCCATTCCGAATTTCATTTCGATTTGAAACCGCTGTTCCGTTCTGTCAAAACTGAAAGGCTGTTTTGATGCTGTTTCGACGTTTCGCCAGGGGTGGGAAGTGAGCCCAGCTGAGTTGACTTCCCATCCCCACTGCTAGATCAGGCAGTGGGGAGCAGAGAGTCAGCCCAGCTGGGCTCACTCCCACCCCTCCACACTGCGATCGGGTGTGGGGCAGAGAGTCAGCTCAACTGGGATCAACTCCCCCCTCTGCACTGCAGGCGGGTGTGGGGAAAGAGAGTCAGCCCAGCTGGGTTCACTCCCCGCCTCCACGCTGCAATGGGGTGTGGGGGAAGGAATTCAGCCCAGCTGGGTTTGCCCCCTCCTCCGTGCTGCGATCAGGTGAGGGGGCAGAGAGTCAGCCCAACTGGACTCCCAATCACAGCACAGGAGGGGAGTGAGCCTAGTTGGGCTCACTCTCCACCTCCGCACCCGATCGTAGCGTGGGTTGGGGGGAGTGATCCCAGTTGGGCTGAACCTCTGCTCCACGCCCGATCGCAGTGCAGAGCAGGGGAGTGAGCCCAGTTGGGCTGACTCTCTACCCCACACCTGATAGCAGTGCAGGGGGGTGGAAGTTAGCCCAGTTGGACTGACTCTCTGCACCCCCCCGGCTGGATCGCAGCACCACCCCACTGGATCACAGTGCTGGGGTGGGGAACTGACCCCAGGCTCAGTTATCAGCTTCCAGTAGCGGGAGACGGGGAGAGCCAGGGCTGCCCTCCCAGCTGGTGCTGGGAGCACAGCTCTGGTTCTCCCCTGTCTCTCACTGCTGGCTTTGAAACTCGAAACATTTCAAAAGTTTCAAAACATTTCGACTAGCCTCGTTTTGTTTCGAGGCTGTTTCGAAGCCCTTCATTTCAATTCAATCTCACTGTTTCGAGCTCGAAATTAGTTGAAACAGTGTCGAATCGAAACAACCGGCGAAAGTTTGCACAGCCCTGTTGAATATCAGTCTCCAAATCATGTAATGATCCCTAACAATGGTTTGTGTTCATTATTCATGAAAGGATAAGGGTTACCCAAATACCAAGCCTTAGGACCTGAGATGCATAAAAGTGGGCCTAGAGATCTATGCATGTTGCCTCAGCCCAGAATCGGGCCATCCAGGGCTGAAACCACAATATCTCATAGGAGTCCCTGAGTTGTTGCCTCACCCACACCCCTGGAGGAGCCGCCACCTTCCTGTCTAAAGGCAGTGCTGTCACCATCCCACTTTGAGCAGCTTAAGAGTCCTAGATTTTCAAAAAAGAAAGGGGCCATTATGATCATTCAGTCTGCCTTCTTGATCTTCTCACTACCAGGATACTACTTCATGCCATCAAGTAGCATGGGTTTTAGCTAAGTGGAGGGAGACCTCAGCTACCACCCTTGTGAACAGCAGTCTCTGAACATGTGTAGGGGCGCACACCTCTCTATCAGAGCCATGACAAGGTAGCATCACCAAGACTGCTCCAGAGTAGCGGATGCCAGCAGCAAGTGCCATTCACATTGGTTAGAAATTCTGTTTCAGACTTTGCAGACTCAGGCTGAAATCACTGCACTGATTATAGGTGGGTCACATATTCAAGCTTTTTTTCACAACCATAAAGGTTGGAGGCATTTTTTTCTTAAATGAAAGCAGAGTTTTGGAGCAGAGTGCACGGGTCCAGGAGCTGGAAACCCTGATATGGGCCTCTGTCTCTGCTAACCCTTTCTGCGATCTTTATGGCTATTCATGTCTGTAGCCAACTCTCAAAGCCAGCTCCCTTCTTGATACAAACTGAACAAAAACTCTGAACCCCAAAACTCCTTCATTTTTAAGATGTTCAGATCTGTACCTGGGCTTTGCTTCTCGGGCCTGTCTTTCCCCCTATGTGCCTTCCATAGCAATTTGCTATGTACATGATGGGTATTTCTTTTTTTCACATGTTTCTGAAGCTTGAGGTTTTGGTCACCATCAAAAGCAGGACCTCAGGCACAAGATGTAGGATAAATTCTGTCTTCTGGTCCTCAAAGCCAGTCCTATTAGTAGCCTATGTTGTTCCCATAGGTTTTTTTCACCATTGTGTACATCAGGGGTGGGCAATTGTTTAGACCCATGGGCCACATAGGGAGATTGGCAAAGCTATTACAGGCTGGGTCAGCACACTCCTTCCTCCCCACTGCAACAACTGGCCAAAACTCACTATGTGGGATGGGGTTGCAGGCAGGCAGGGAGCAGTGTCCAGGAGTGGGATGGGCAGGCAAGGCCAGGATCATGTATTGGGGGCATGGGGTGGTGACAGCACAGGGCCAAAGCTGGAACACAGCCATGACCTGATCCCTTAATGCCCTTGTTTGTGGAATCCATGCCTGTTGTAGGGATGTGTGGATAGCGGATCACAGCTTGGCTTCATGCTGTCACTGGCCCAAGATGCTGGGACTTCTCCATCTCCACCCACCTGTCTTGCTTCTGGATGCCCAGCCGAGCACCCTGCTTGTGTGGGTCCTGGCCCCAGTGGTAGGTGCAGGGTAGGTGGGTCTGGCTGCTGGGTCTAGCATTGGCAGCCAGACCCTGTGGCAGCTGGATGGAAGGGCTGCTGGGAAGTGGAGTCCAGCTGCTGCAGTGCCTTATACCCGCGGCATCTGGGGGTGGTGGGACTGGCCATTTGAGTTTTGGCTGGGTGGGACTGAGGGACCCGCTATGGGTCGCACATAATGCCTTGGTGGGCCAGATTCAGCCCATGGGCTATATTTTGCCCGCCCCGGTCTACACTGAACAGTCTCTGCACATCATTCTAATACTGTGCATTTTTCAGCTCAAAAGACTACACAGAAAATCAGCTGTACATTTCTTATTTCTATTGTAATTAAGGGGAATTACATACATAATGACCATGTTCCTTTCCACCCCACCATACAACTGGACCTCAAAGTGCCTACAACATAAATATTTTGAATCCTTAAACATTTACCATGCCCAAGAACTGCTAAAAATCTGAGTACATTGACACATTTCTGCATTATTATTTTTAACATTAACTAGCCTATTATGATAGGAAACAAGTTATCCATGACTTAGAGAGCCTTTTGCTTCAGGGTCAGTAGGGTTGCTGTTATTTAACTAATCATACAAAGTTGTGGGTAGCCTGAGCTGATTCTCCTACTGATGTGTACAGTACTATGCTACATACCTCTATTGTAATCATGAACTTTTATGGGAAAC